GGGGGGGGGGGGGGGGGGGGGATTTTTCACCTTCCCTTCTCCCTTCGTCACCACACCACACTCTCTCGACCAGCTCCCAGCCCATCCTTCAGTCGTCACGCTACCTCCCCCTTATCTCCCCGCTGTCATCAATGTACACTGACCTGAGACAGACAGGGCCCCTGGATGGGGAGAGAGAATGGCAAAAAGGGGTACCAAGCAGACTTTTGTACAGTAAAACAACTGCTACCTAAGCCCCAGGGCGAAAAGGCCTCTCGCCTACCCCCTGGATCCACCAAAGCCAATCTTCTGCATAAAACCAGGAATAAGCAAGGAATACAAATGGCTCCAAGTGTAGAAAAGAGAATAATTCCACCAAAGTACAGTGCAAATCGTCGTTCTTGAAAATTACGTTATAAGGAAGCTGTTTGCAAAATAAGTTTCAGTAGGCGCGTTGGAAACAGAATTTTTGGTACTTTTTTAAAAGAAATCGAATTTCTCCTGTATCATCTGTTTGATATTAGAAATTTTTTGTTCAGATTGCTTTAGAATATCGCCTCGGGCTTACTTCTGGGGATGAAACAAAACTCTGGATTACTAGTAAGCTTACCGCCAAACCTCGCTTTATCGGTCAAAGCAGCTTGAAAAGTTGCCATTTGTATTAGGTGGAGAGCCAAAGACTGTGAATTACAGCTGATCTTTGATCGTTTTACTTTAAAAATTTAATATTTCTCTAATCTTTTTGATTTAAAAAGTTAACGTTATTTTTTTTTCTTAATTTTTTTGCTTTGAAAAGTGTAATAGTGTTTTTCAGCAAGCTATTCGCAATTGAACGAATCTTGCAACTTCCAGGGTGGTCATTATAGATGTAAGTGCTTCCAGCGCTCTTTTTTTCGGGAAAAATTTTCTTTTTTTGCTTTTTTATCGTATCGTATGTTTATGGCACATTGTCGCTGCTGGCAGCATGCCAACACTGCTTTTCCGTGCCATTTTAGTATTGGTATGGCTTTTGTCAGTTTACTTTGAAGTAATTTAGCAACATAGGCATATCGGTATTCTTCATCCATCATAAGACAGTGATTTTTTGTCTTTTTGGATCTGTTTTAGCTTTTAAACTAAAATTATTAAAATTAAAAGCTTTAAAAATTGGTTAAAATTATTCAGCTTTAAAAATTAATTTAAAAATTAATTAAAGTTATTTATTGAGCTTCTTCTGTTTTCTTGCATTCTTATCGATGAATAGCACCTAATTTTGTGTCTTAAGCTTTATGGGGATTAATTTCTTCCTTTTTTTTGCACTGAAAAAGTGTGACATCTTTAGGGGATGAGGCCTTTTTCAAAGACACTGATAAAATGCATTTTGAATTGCTTTTTTCCATCAATGAAATTCTGATAAAATTTTAAAATTTCAGATAATTTGGATGTCATCCGGCTGCCCTCCACGCCAAGTTTGTTTAATTATCCTTATTGTTATTATTTTTTTATTGCAGTAACTAACAATCATGATATTCTTAACTAGAAATTTCCTTCAGCACATTTGCTTTTTTTAAGATTTTGATAAACGTACGGGTCCACCAAAGTTTTTTTCGAGTAAGTTGCTAACTCGGAAACTTGGAAAGTCTAGAAAGCTGGAATTACAGGGGATGTTTTCAGACAGCCCTGGTAGCTAGTCTCAATTATCTTAGCGTAGAATTTGCCGGAAAAACCGGTGCAGTTAGTGACAAAAACCTGCGGAGAACTTTGCAAAAAATACACCTTCGCACTGGCAGCCGGTGCGCTGGCGATTTATTTTGTGGCTAGGCAGCATTTCTTCTAATAGGCCTCAAAGTACTTTGGCCCCTTCACAGTGTTTTTGACTATAAAATTACAGTGTCTGATCACTGGTGTTCAATATCATATTACGAATTGGATACGCAAATCGGTGAAGCATTTCGAGTGCGAAAAGACCAAACTGAGGTGAGTGTTTTTTTTTCTTCTCTGGGAAGTATGCATTCCCAGGTCTTGCTTTTTTGGTTTTTTAAGAAATTACTAAAAGATAAAAAATATGCTTTAAAATTTTAAGAAATTAATATGCTTTAAAATTTTGGTGGCTTTTATTGTCATTTCTCTTCTTGCCGTGGATGCAACTGACAACTTCTGCATTGTCTATTTTGAGCACCTCTCATCCACATTAGATTTTTGATAATTTATAATAGCTAACCCAAACAATATTAGAATTATGACAACTAATCTAATGAACTTCAATAGTAGAATGTAACGAATGCAGTGAGAAATAAAAAAACCTCTGAATTGGAATGTTTCGGTCCACATAGCCATTGATTGTTTGGTGTTTGCTTTGCATCGGCGGCCCTTGTGCTCTTTAACATTGCGCGGGTAGCACTCGCCAAATCGTCTTATCCATCTGTTGTCTCTCATTCTTGCCAAATGATCAACTCAGCTTTTGTTTTTGGCGTACAGA